TGGGCGAGAGCTTGGATGCTGGAATTCAGCTTGAAGAAGGAGACAGACACGCTGGGGGAGGACAGAAGACAGAAAAACATCAATGAATAAAAACACCATTACTTTCACACACCCGGAAGCAATGGGAGATCCACAAGTTAAGCTTGGAGACACAGAGAATGAAGTGCTAATAACCCAGAGGATCTTCCACTCAAAGCTATTCTGTCACTGGAACATTTGAACCTGCTTTAAGGAGGATCTAAAATAAGATCAGGCACCCAGGAGTAGCACTCGTACTGAGCTTTCCTTGGAGAGGGGAAATGGAAAACAGGCATAGTTTTCTTTAAGCTCTACTCTAGACATAAGGCTGCAGCTAAGATACACACATCAATATTAGTTTTGAAGTATCCTTCTTGGATACCACTAACAGCATAGCTACAAGGCCCTTCTCAGCCCTGCAGCCTGGGGAAATCCACAAATTCCTAAGACAAGGGTATCTGTGTTGTACTTGGTTTTAATACCTGAGGTAGTTAACTGGAAAATTGTTTCAGGGTCATGTCTACTGCTGCTGGGTCACAGGGTAGCCATGCCAGCAACAACCTCCTCTCACCAGGTCTGGGCAAATCCAGCAAACCAGCCCCACAGCCCCATTGACATGTACCCAAACCAGTGCCTTAAATGAAGTGGAATAGCCCAGGTCCAGGCTGCCCCTGCTGACCTCCCAGCACTTCCAGTTGTATTTGCATGGCCATAACACAAGTGGCCATCCAAGCAGCCCAGGGCCACTGAACTGCTGTTTCTCACAGCATGAGATGCTTTTCTGGGGATGTGTGGGGAGAGACAGAGGCTCCAATACTCTCCCCGTCCCAAATACACATTGCCTTGTCCACCCAGCTACCAGCTACGCTGGTGTGCCCTGTGCCAGGGCTTCCTTTGCCTTGCCCAACGGAGCTTCAGACCTGCCACTGTCTGACACTGCTCACCATGGATGGTCTCTACAGGGCTGCAGGGTGAGGTGGAGGCTGCTTGATTTGTTTGTATATTTACAGGAGATGAAAGCCAAACCGGGAAAGGACTTTGGTACGGTGCAGCCAAGTGACTATAAAGTACTGCTTTAAAAAGCCACAAGGTCACCCTTACTGACATTTGGATAAGGATTTTATAGAAGTCACAGGACTAGGAGATGGGCTTGTTGTGCCTACGATCGCAGGGGAGAGAAAGAATTATGTGCTGCTCAAGAGGGCTGCATTGTTGTGACTTTCATATTCATAAATGCTCATTTATTAGCCCATTGGATAAAAGAGGCTGATTGGGATTTCTCTTCTCACTGACTGTAGCTCCAGGTGGCTTCCTTGACACCTTCATGAAATTTAACAGCCCCTTACTTACCACTGCTCTCCAGGTGACATGTCATGCAAGGTTTTTTTCCCAGATGGTAGAAGGTGTAGGGATAGTGATAAAAATAATCTTTATCTGAAAGCGTGTGGCACAGGTGAGTGTTTTGGTCTGCTTATTAAATTACAGTGTCATCCAGCCATTACATCCTTTAGGCACTGTCTGTTCTTCAGTACCCAGAAACCAGACATATCTGGCCTGTGATTGTGATGGGGAATGGAAACTCCCCTGCCCTTTCCTCACATTAGGCCTGCAGGGTGATGCAAACACAAAGAATGCCATGAGCTTCATGCTAACATGCTGAATATTTAATGTATTTCGTCACTGGAGCTCCATCCCCTTCTCCCACTGAGGTGACCGAGAGACAGATCACAGGATTAATACTGAGGTCCCCAGCACTTGCTCCTTGGTGCCACTGGACGCTGGCAGATGAGCCAGGCAGGATGAGCAGGCAGAAGTGAAGAGAAGGGCCCAGGCAGCCCAGGCTGCAGTGTTGTTGCACCCTGGCTGGGGCTGGCTGGCTCCTTTGCTCAGAGCCCTGGAAGCCAGGGCTGCTGAGGAGTCAGGGCCACCTGCCACCACCACCCAGGAGGACACAGGCAGGGCACTGGCTTGGTGCCACGGGGAGCTCTGCCACGTGGGGGACACCGCGGCAGCGGGAGAACTGTAGGTCAAGTGTAGTGCAGCAAGGGTGTTTTTCAGCCTCATGCAGGTGCATAACCCATTTGCTGCCAGAAACAGTGCCATTGGCATAAAAGAAATTGCAGGAGCTCATGGAAAGTGTCGTTCAGCCACAAGCCTGACCTGGCTGCAGTTGGTGTGTACGTGCTGGAGCAAGGAAGCTGGCAGCCAAACAACCCACAACCCATCGTGTGACCAGGAACGTGTATGTGACACCAAATGGTGCTAACGGGGAGGGGGGCTGGGCACAAGTCCCTGGGACCCATCCTCCTTATGCAAAGCTCTTCCTGGAAAGAGGCAGGAAAATTTCTGGGCTTATGCTGATATGGCTTATCTCCACTAAGGGTCTTTGTCCCCTACGTGAGTCAAAAAAGCTACGTGTGTGGTTGCACAGTGGAAAAAGTGATGCCAACAAAGATGCTGAATCAATATAGCAGGAGCCGAAAAGTCCTTTCACCACCATCCCCTTTCCTCTAGGAAACTTCCCCTGTCCCTTAAAGCAGGGACAGCAGAAGGAGTTTTACAGGCTCAATGTGTGGGAACTACATAGAATAGAATCACAGAATGTATTGTGCTGGAAGAGACCTCTAAAGGTCACCTAGTCCCAGCTAGTCCAACCCCCCTGCAATAAGCAGGGACACCTCTAACTCTACATAAATCACTACACTGTGTCAGGACTGCAGCCAAGGGCCTACTCAGTTCCCAGAGCAGCAACGGTGGAGGGACATGGATTTCACCCCAAGCATCCCAACCCACTCAGCCTGATAGAGATTGCTCCACTCTTATTGGTATCTGAACTTGCTGGTTCAGCTCAGCTTGCACATCTTCACTGGGCCATAGGCACAGCCAGAAAACCTACATCAGGCCCCACCTCTGAGCAGCATGGATTGAAGGGTGGTCCCTAGTGCAATGATGCAGTGGGGTAAGACAGGCAGAGCTCCAGGTCACTGCTCCCAGTGGACCAACATTTATTCCAGGTACCCAATAAGCAGTAGCTAGGCACAACATATATGCAAACCCTCCCTCCTCCACCACACTGACCTACCAAAAAATATCTAGAGATGGCACCAGTCCCACTCAGACTGACAGAGGCAGCTGCTAGAGCAGACCTTTTAATCCTAAAGCAGAGCCTGTTGTCACTGGCAGGAAATCTTATTGTGTTGGATAGGCAATCCTAGACCTTAATTTAATAGGTTGCCCTCCCTGTGAAGCCAGACAGACTGGACTGGAGTCAGACGAAGCAAGTTGCTTAAGCCAGGGACCACCTGGCTGTAACTTCATCTAGGTGACAGCATAACTTTTGTGACCTGCTCTGAAAGGTTGATACCCCAAGCAAGCTTCCAGAGGTAAAGTGACAATTTGTGAAGAGCAAGAAATCAGAGATGCTCTGTTCTGGGAAGGAATTCATTCCTTCTCCTTTCAGAGACTGAAATTTTGTGGCCTTTACCCTGACCAAAGACACTGCAGATCATGCTGGTTCAGGATGGAATTTGAGGGAGCTGCTGTCTCCTCCTGTGTCTCCATTGCACATGGTGTATTGGGGAGTGCTTCAAATCAGACCCTGCTAGTAGCTCCTAGTACTGAGCACCTCGTTTTTCTTTCTCATGCTTGCCCTCACGCTGTCTCTGTGAAATGAGATGCACTACTTTCTCCAGGCCAGAACAGAGCAGCCACGTTGAATCCACACATTTATCCATCCACTGGCCTCTGTAGCCTCCCAGTGCTGTGCCACGATGTGACCCTGCCCTGAACGCACTCAGTCCCCTGCAGATGTACAAGAAGGCAGCACGTTGCTCACCCACCTTGCTTGCTGCATGGAGACAGCTTGAGGGCACAGGCCAGAAGAGACTGTAGCATCCCACTGCTGAGGCCCCAAGTTGGATGATGGGGATGGAAGCAGAGGAGGGAATGAGGACCCCAGTGTTCACTGTGAGGTATAACTGCCCCTCTGACTAGGTCCAGACAGAGAAACTGCACAATTCCAAAAAAGCCAGCTTAGTCTGCTATCAACCTGAGCATCAGGTCAAGCTTTGCACTCAAAACCAGTGCTTTCCATTGCCTGGAGGGGAGCAATGCCCTGTGCTGCTCCTGGGACCCGAGGCTGCTTCCACGTGCTACTTCCCCATAATCCAGCAGAGGGGCCTTTCCTCCCCACGTCCCCCCAGCCCAGCAGTGGCCGTGGCCTCTGGTCAGGGAGTGCTCCTCTCAGCTCCGAGGCACTGAGTCCAGGCTGCCGTGCTGTGTGAAGTTGGTAACCAGGCCATGACCCCACGGTGACATCCAGGCAGCCCGAGTCCCCCGGCTGAGCCAGTTGCCACATGCCACTCAAGCCATAGACTGACACTGCAGGATGTGTGTGGCCAGGTCCATACACAAAACACCCCTCTGCTTTCTCCATCTCCCCCACTTCCCACCGAAGTGCTGTAAAGCCAGGAGCAAGCACACAACACCAGTGCAGGAATTCTTTATTTTCTGAGAAACACATACTCGACTTCCCAGTGCAACAGAACTTCAGCAGTGTAGCAGTGGCCACCAGAAACCTACAGAGGGCAGGGCGCAGTTCTCCTGAGAGTTTGGCTAATGTGAGTGAGGCAACTAATGCAAGTTTCTGAGCTGGCTGACCCTGGAGACTGACTGGCTGTGTTCACCCCCATGAAGCAAGGTGATATTGTGGTGGAAGCTTTCTGCAGTGACCTGCTAAGAGTCTCACCTACGGGAGGAATAGGATTCTGTGCCCCTGCTTCCCATCCTGACACTGCTTTCATGCCTCTTGAGTCATCCCTCCACTCTCCCTCTCACCACACTCCTCAACATCCCCCTTGTTCCTCCATATCCTTTCATCTCTGGCCATCCCATTCGCCTCTCAGATGAGACTGCGTTTCAGGGGAGGGAGAAAGAAAAAGGGGGTAGGGTAGGCAGAAGCTCACAGATAACCCTTTACATTATTTTTCCTAAGAAAGCAGATTATTTCTCTTGTATACATGAAGCCAGGAAGCAACGGTTTATCATGGCTATCACTCAGAGTGCCTCTATGCTGCCTGGAGTGACTGTTGGCCTCTCATCAAAACTTTCCCATACATCTCGGATGGCCAATTGTGAGATGTCCAAAATAGTGCTGGGGAAGCTACTCTAAGATGCATGGCCAGGCCTCCATCGTGGTGTTCCTCTGTGCATATGTGCTACCCCTGGAAACCAAACTCCTTGTACTTGCTGGCCATATCATTTCGGAACAGCTCCAGGGCCTTCTTCATTGCAGCCTGGGCATCAGCCCCAAAGTCTGCAGAGTGTTTTTCGGCAATGACCTTGATAATGATTTCAGAAATGAACTGTGAGGAAGGAAAGAGAGAGAGAGAAACTGAAGGGACGCTCAAAGTTTATTTTCAGAAAAGCAAGACTAAGAAATAGGTTGCAGAGCCTGGAAATATCTTCGAGCTAATTCAGTAGCCCTTCCCACAGTCTCTGGAGAGATAGTGAGGTCTAGCATGCAAGGAGCCTGGACTGGGCAAAAGAACTGGGCTCTATTCCTAGCTCTGACGCTGATCATGACCTTGAGCAGACTATGGCCCTTCCCACTCTATGTCCATCTCATCCATTAAGGCTGAAAATTCATGCCCTGTATTTGTCCAACACTTAGTTTCATGGGTCTTGGTCTCCAATGGCTATTCCAGAGCTTACTCTAAAATTGTACATCCCTCGTGTCCAGCCACTGACTGTTCTTATGTAATGTTTCCTAGGCATGCAGAGGCTGCATGGGCTGGTTTATTATTGTCCAGGGTTGCTCAGGATGCATGGGGTGTTTGGAACGGGAAATCTAAACTTGGATATTCACATACCATTAGCATACCATGAGCCCTTCCTGTGCCTCCTCCCGCCTGTACACAGAGACCTCAGGCTTGAGGGAGAGCTCACCAAAGTCCAGCTAGCCATCAGTAAATAAAAGCACAACTCTCCCTTAGTCGTGTTGCACGCATTCACTACACATCAGACACCAAGATTCCCTGCCCTTTTCCATACCTCCAGATATTTGACTGGGATTTTGTGCTTGGTTGCATGGGTTTGAGCCAGGGGCTTCAACTCCGACTCATGATTACCCTTCTGCTTCAGGATTTTGCCCAGCTGGGTGAGGACAGTAACTCCGTGCTTCTTCAGATCTTCAGAGCCCTTCATCTGATCAGGGGTCTTCAGGCCTTTGAACCTTTCAAAGCGATCCAAGGTCTCAGGGTGGTCCTTAAAGAGTCTGTGGACAAAAGCAGAGGAACGTCTGAAACCTGAGAGAGTTGTCATCCTGGCCACAGCTGAGGTCTATCTGCTCCAGGTATTTCAGAGCATATGGACAGGCAAAGGTGTGATAACCCACTTCCCTCCCTAAACAAAGCTCTTAGCTAGTCCTGCTAGTAGAGGCTACTTTTACCTGGGAAATCTGTCACTTTAGATCCTTTCTAGACTACCACTATTCACAATCACTTTTTAAAATTAAAAAACTATTAAAAGCCTTTTGCCTTGACACAGCTTCCTTTGAGTATTGTATCTACTTCAATCCCATCCTCTTGCATGTGCCCCAAGATGAATAGCAGTGTCTTTCCCATTCCCTCTGGCTGTGACAGGGATACTGCCCTAAACGTGTCCAACTAGAGCAACTGAGCAAGTGTCCATATTTTTTTTTATATAGCTCTTCTAACTCTTTGGCACCAATCCCATGGCTTATGCCAGCTGTATTAAGATAGAGACAATAGCCAAGGCTGGCTGTGGTACAGAGAGGTGAGTTCCTGCATTCATCTGAAGGAAAAAAAAAAAAAAAAACCAAACCAAACAAACCCACCTATCTTCATGGACTTACTGTTGCTGAGAAGCCAACCTGTAGATCCTGGCTCTCACCAGGACCCTCTTCCCAGCCCATCTCTGGAGAAGGTTACCAGGAAAGGAGAATTCTAGAGGCTTCTCCTACACAGGTGTTCGTGAACTTCAGCTGAATGGGAAAGCCTTCTGTGCCCTCATCCTATGATTGCAGGGCATGGAGGAATTTGGTTCCTGCCCTTTTTTCTTACCCTGCAGCTCTGCCCAGCTGCCAGCAGCACAGTTCCTCCATCAGGAACCACGGCACCTCAGAAAGTCCTTGGCAGCAAGTGGGTAAGAAATGCACGAGGCCTTCAGGCATGCTGGTGCCATGCCATGCAGTGCTATATATAGGCACTCTGATCCCAAAATGGAAATGAAATCAAGAAGGTGCAAGAGTGGCTAGAAGACATGCTAGTGTTGTCCCTGTTGCTTCCTCCCTGCTGCATTTCCTAGGAGACAGGATGCAGACACCACTGGCAACCACGCCAGTAGAAAAAGAAAACTTCACTCTTCCCTGCCAGAGTCCTAGAGTCAAGGTGAAAAGGAGATACTGCCTGTCCTGATTATTAGGAGAATTCTAATAATTAGGTGTTGAAAGACATCAGCTCCCTTGCACAAGTTTATTTTCTGATCTAATACCATGGGCAGAATTCATGAATGAAGAATGAAGGTTGGATTGCAGGTTGAAGCACCTGCAAAAGCCAATATGACTTTAGAGGCAGGGCCCAACAGCTCACACCTATGAAGCAACTCACCCAACAGCAGCTGGAGTGCCAGCCCAGGACTTCAGCCTCCCTCTCAGGGCACAGTGATTCCACCCTTGGGACAGTGGACTGGTGCTGGGACTATGGTTCACATCCCATCTAGAACTGGAAATTCCTCCTAGATATGTTGCCATGAGGGCCAGACTCTTTATTGTATGATTCAAGTAAAGATTAAACTACACTAACAAATAACCTCAAGCATGTGGAAAACACAAGCTGTTCTGTGGCAAAAAGATTCTGCAGTAACCAGTCTTTGGTGGTGTTCCATTTCAAAGATCTCCAGAGAATTTCTACCAGGTACTGAGCACATCATCATCAGCCTTTCCTTTTCTCCTGATTCTTTCCATGACACAGGTTGTATCTGACCCAGAGAGGTGAAAAATCCTTGCACCTTGAAATGGAATGGAGTTGTTTCTAAGAATCTCCATCCATCGTGTCTAGCTATATCTGAATCATGTCTGACAAAGACTATATACACTTGAGACTCCCGAAAATTCTTCTGAGGAGTATTATTTTGTTTCCTTTGGAAAACATTCCATAGAATCAGTATTTTCTAAACATATTCCCAGGATTTGAGACCTACCTAAGAAGTCTTTAATAGTGCACACGCAGACACATTTGTAAACTAAGAGCTGCTGGGCTTCCTCTGACTCTTCTCCCTCAGAAAACCCCTTGAAGGAACAAGAAATAACCTGGGTTGGGTGGGGAGCACAAAGTCACAGGGGAGAGGGGTGTCATCTATTTATGTAATGCCATGCTCTGCCCTGTGACACCTGTGAGAAAAATGGTATCACCTTTTCAGTGGGGAGCTGCTTTTACTGTCTTGTGGCACTTCCAGAGCCAAAGTGGCCACCTCACAGAGTGGGAAGGGCTCAAATTCCTGCTAGCCCTCCAGCATGCCTGCTCTGGACCATGAGGGGGGACTCACCCCATTGCCACACCTTCATTTGCCTCCATCTTTCCCTTCACTTCAAGTGGCAGCTGAACTGGGCTGTGATAAAAGCAAATAAACCAGCCTCCTGCTTTAGCTCATCTTTGAAAAAGCTTGTCAGAGGTTTTCAGTGGATTTGTCTGGAGATGTGGGCTCCTTCCTTTAGCTGTGCTTAGGCTAGGAACCCCCCCAAGCAGATGCCATATCCCCACTGCTCTCCTTGCATCTGTTCCCTTCCAGCACATTGTACTGCACCCAGGCTGAGGGGGACATCTGGAGAGATTCTCCTCGGAGCCACCATGCCTGCTGGTCTGTAAGGACAGCCTGGCATCCCACGCTCACTCAGTGTTGTTTCCCACTCTGCAGCACTGAGATCCCTTCCAGATCACATTTCTGTGGCTTGCTGCTGGCGCCTGGTTTGTTCCTCTCTCGGGGGGCTAGGACTGCAAGGATAACGTGGGGAGAGGGGGTGTCCTCTCAGATGGAGATGTTATGAGCACTCCCACTCTGACACCAGAATCATGGAGAGAGAAGCAGGCAGAAGGATGTGCCTCATGTCACACCCAGACCTCATATTCATCATCAAGAGTGGGAGAGTGTTACCACCAGATTCCTGGCCAAAAAGCAGGATGGGAAGGGCTCTGCCAGGTGACACTAATGTGGGGAGAGGGAAGCAGTTGGGTATTTCAGAGTTAATTTCACTGAAATCATAGATTCTGAGAAAATTGTCACAGAGGTGATTTTCCTCTCCTCTCCTTCCCTGCCTCCCCACATCCATGCTGCAGAGCATCTGAAGGTCCAGGACACAGTTCTCTCCAGCATTTCTTGCCATGGTGCTTGGACAATGAGGATCTGAAGCAGAGCTTTGCCACCAGAGGAAGAGAGAGTGACAGAGCCCCACTATCTTTTGAAAGCATCACTGGCCTGTTCCTGCACCCACGGACAGATGGAGAGACAGAAGCACAGCCACTTTGCACAGTCAGTAATTTTTAACCTAGAAACTGCAGCAACACCAACACCACCCAATAAAGAAGACAGCCTGTTGAGATAAACACTGCCAAACACAAGCCCCCATACCAAACATACACCCTCCTTGGCCTCTCATCAAAAGCTCTCAGCTTCCCTCTTAGGATCAAAGCTTCTTACCCACCTCATTAAAACTTCATGCCCATGGCCAGCAAGGTCGGCCTCCACCTTTCCCCAGATGGTCAGGACCTTCTGCCATTCCTGGTCACTGAGCCCCATGGTTCACCAAAGGCAGGTCCCGAGTGCTCCCTGCAGCCGTTCGCCTTTCCCCAAAGGGTGGCTGGAGAGCTCACCCCTGGGATTTATAGCCCTGGCTCACAGACCTACACCTGTTAATCGTCAGCTGGACATCTTGCTCTCTTTCAGGCTTGTCTAACCTAATCAGCCTCCTTGTTTTTTTTTTTCTAGAAAGCTATTTTGGGTCAGGTGCTATTGTGGGTGCCACTGATGGCATAATTTCTGCTTTTCGTATTGGACTGGCACTTGTCCCATTCTAGACAGAAAGGGCACTGCTGAAACACAGTGCCAGGAGCCTGTCCCGGGTTCCCAAGGACCCAGAGACAGTGTCAAGCTGTATGGTAGGAGATTCCTGAAGAGCACTGTCATCAGCGAGGCCACGCCGCCTCCCTCCCTCCTGACCTGCCAAGGGCAGGCAGGGGAAAAGGCTGGAGCAGCAAGTGGCATCAGCTCCAGTGCTCCAGAGGCTTTTCCTTTTCCATGCTGATCTCACTCCCCTTTTCCCCCGGGGTAGCACACACCATTTACTACCAGAGAGGAGCACAGTGTTAGAAGAGACATGTCCTTAAGAGCTAACCATACTCAGAATGACCCAGTCATCTCTCCAGCCTCTGCAGGAGGGAGGAAGGGGATGAAAGGTCCACAGGAGCTGGTTACCTGGACCTGCCTGCTGGGGTCCCTCTGCCTACCTCTCTGGGAAATGCCCAGGATTAGCTGCTGGCTGAGCCTGGATATCTGAGCCAACAGAGGTAGAGCTGGGCCAGGAGGGTGACTGGCAGCAGGCCAGAGCCACAAGGACACAGGAGGGCTTCACTTGCTCAGAGCACAGCCCGACAACAAAGCCCAGTCCGACAACAAAGCCCAGCTAGTGCTGCTGTCCCAAAGCATGCACCTATCTCTGGACATTTCCAGAGGGACCCACCCCACAGGCCTTGGCAGGCCAGAGATGGCAACCAAGGGCTGTTGACACCTGCCTTGGGGCTCAGGAGAAGAACATGCAGCCCCGTGGTCCTTACCACAGCACTGCAGGAACTGAGGTACATCACTACCTCTGCACCCATCTGCTCTCTGCAGCGTGGGAACAGTCTCCCTGCTCCAGCCTTGCAAGGGGAGAGAAGTGCTCAGGTACCAGGGCAATGAGGATGGAGGCACAAGAGCCTCACACCCCTCAGAAACACAGAGGTTTAGAGGGGAGGGTTTGGGTAAGAAGAGTGGCAAAAGCCAAATGGAAGTGTCAGCTGGTACACGAGGGAAGGGAAGTTTGGTCGTCAGGTGTTGCAAGCCTCTGTCAGCCAAGTCAACCTGTGACCCTGTAATCCTCCCCTTCTTTCTCCTCTATGCACCAGTTCACTTTACATCCAAAATCCACATCCTAAACCCTTCAAAGCCAAGATTTCATCCTGATTTACCTGTGCAAACACTACAGGCCACTATCCATTACCCAAACTCAGCTAAACTCACGGAAGAGAGTTTAAGACCCCTCCAGCTCATTCCTCAGCGATCACAGACCTGCAGCCTTGGTCCCCAAGTCCCTAGAGCAGTAAACAACCGTTTGCACCACCCTGGGCTCAGCCTTGGGTGGGATCCTGAATCCTGACCTTACTGTTTTACACGCATTTCAGACACGACAGACATGTGCTCCTGGTACACGAGCGGCTGCTGCTTACGCACAGAGCTCTGTCCTACTCCCCAGGCTGAAACCACTCAGTTGCTGTAATCACTTCATTTCAAGCTGGGCAACTCTCTCTGCTCCCTCTCTATTTCCCCGGGGTGGTGAGGCCAGCAGTCCTGCTATGGACATTAATGCTAAATAGTCCGAAGGCTTAAAAAGAATATGAGACTCCATATTGCTTTCTCTACGCGTAAAGCATGAATGAAATTAAATCATAAGCTCTTCTCCCTAGAGCTTAAATAAATAGTTTACAGAAATACTAAAAGCTTTTCTAGTGCACCAGACCCCGCCTCAACCCTGCAGCTGCAAAAAGGACATAACGTTTTAGTCTCCAGAGGCTTCTCCTCTCCCCCTCGGGGCAAAAAAATCTATCGCTTGCATAATCATCTCGATAAAAGCAAACTAGGGAGAGCCAACATACGGGTTGCCCCTTCCAAACAGCCCCGGGTGGCTGAAGAACCATTGCGGGCAGGGCTGGCCCCGCAGAGCCCCGCCGGGAGCTAAAGGAGCACAGAGGATCGCCGACGGTTTGG